CATTGTACCTACCCGACAGTCAGCTACTACAAGAAAAATACAGGCCATACCGATAGCCTCAAGTATGAGTCTAAGAATACCGTTAGTGATTCTTGCAATTAAAATAAAGCACTAGGCCTAAACAATTAAATCTCAATCTTTTTTTAAATCATTCCTGAAACATTAAACATGTGCTAAACTTCATATACTGCAAATCTCTCTTTTATATATCCATTACACCCGTGTTTTAATGCCATCATCACATAATTATGTAACCAAAATGTGATAAAATACAAACATATAAAATCTCATGAAAATGTGTCTTACCTTTTAAATGATCATGAATTGCTTGCGAATCCCCCAGGGAGATGGCCCTTGACTGCGATTCTGGAGACTGTCTCCAGTTTCTCTTGGCCCCATGGCTGAGTGGGCAGCTCTGGTTTGGGCCCCAGAGGAGGTCCCAGGCAGGACCTGCCAGCAGCTTCCTTCACCCTTGCAGCTGCTTTGGCAGCTGTGACCTAGGGGAAGGACTCTCCAGGGAAAGCAGGCCAGGCTGGGAGCAGAGCCACAGAGAGGGTTCAGCTGAGACCTGTGCTGGGCCTGTGGGAGCCCAACCCCAAACAAGCATCCGGACAGGGATCCAGAAGGAGGGCATTGTTTGGGAAAGTGCTTCCCCATGGCCTAGAAGCTCCTGCATGCTTTGGCCCACTAGCAGAGACCCTCTGGCAGGACCCATGGAGCAACACAGGGGTTGCCCATCCAGCAGAGGCTGGTCCCACTCCACCATCCCCACCCAGCACTGGGTCCTGGGACAAGCACCTTGCTTGGCAGGTGTAACAATATGTATGGATCTCAGAGGCAAAATGAGCAGCAGCAGAAAGGAGGAGTCTGAAGAAGGAACAGGACATGAAGGGGAAGAGACAGGAAGAGGAGGAGAGTTAGGGAGTCTAGGGGCAGAACAGCAGGCCCTGTAACAGCTCTGTAAGTAACTGCTATAATAAAGACATTGTTTATATTAAGTAGGGAGCTGCTCCTTGATTACCCACAGAGGGTCACATGAAACATGGTGGCAGCAGAAAGCCTGTGAGGAAGCCTAAGACAAGAGAGAGACCTGAGTCCCAGCAGTGATTCAAACAGATTGCAAGAAGCATGGAGGGACTGAAGCCCTCTGGATAGCTGGATTTCAATACAAAGAGCCTGGCACAGGCATGGAAACAATGGAAGCAAGAATTCAGTCTGTATACAGAGTTAACCATGGCTGATAAAGAAGAGAAAATGAAGGTAATGCTGTTTTATTATCTAGTGGTGGAAAAAGGCTGTGAAGTAAGTGTGACACTGATGGAAAGTAACCCTGACACACTAAAACAGTTAATAGAAGCATTTGATGCATGCTGGGACCCCAGGAAAAATGAGACTGTAGAGAGATATCAGTTTTTCACTCAAAACCAAGAGGAAGAAGAAGGAATAGAGGCCTGTATCACAGCACTGAAAACTCTGGCATCCTCATGCAACTTTGGAAACATAAAAGACTCTCTAATCAGGGATAGGATTGTGTGTGGCACATGGGACTCTGCCCTGAGGGAGAGATTGCTAAAAGAGGTAGATCTAACCATGGAAAAGTGTCACCAAATTGCAAGGGCAGCAGAATTGTCTAAACAGAGGATTAAAATGATATCAACAGCCACATGTACAGAGCAGGTTCACAGGCTCAACCTAAAGGACTCTGGAAAGGAGGAACCTGACAGGCCAACTGCAAATACCTACAGTATGATTGAGTGTATATACTGTGGGAAGCTACATGAAAGGCGGAAGGACAAATGCCCAGCCTATGGAAAAGAGTGCAAAAAATATGGAAAAAAGAATCATTTCAGGGGTCCGTGTCGTAGCCACCAAAATCAGGAGACTACAGATGAGGAGGAAGCTTTCAGTGTAAATTTGACAGATTCACAGACTCACAGGAAGGGTTTTTGAACCCAAAAGCTTGCTTAATAACTATTCTCCAACCATTTGGGTTGGTCTAATAAAAGATATCAAATTCACCCAAGGAACCTTGTCTGCCAGACTCACAGGATACACACATTACAGAAAAACGTGGGCAACAACTCAGCCATATTTGCAACTATGATGCTAGAGCAAAGACCTATAAGATTCCAGGTGGACTGTGTAGCCACTTGCAATGTCCTTCCTGTGAATCTATTGAGTAGCAGCATTAGAATGGAAAAATGTCACTACATTCTGTTAAAGTATAACAAAATAACCGTGAGACCACTGTGAAAGTGCCAGCTGACTATAATAAATCCACGCAACAAGAAACAGTACCAACTGAAATTTATAGTGATTGACAGGGCAGGCACCCATTCACTGCTGGACAGCTGGACAGCACAGGCCATGGATTTAATTACAGTGCAACACCACAACATCCTCCAGGTCACAGAAGAGCAAGAATGGTCATTAGGTTCACTACCTAACATTCTGTTAAGATATGGAGACATATTCCAGGGCACTGGACTCTTTAAAGGCAAACTGAAGTTAGAAATAGATCCACAGGCGCAACCAGTACAACTACCAAAACACAGAGTTCTGCTAGCCCTGCTGGAGTCAATGAAGAAAGAACTGACAAACCTACAGAAAAAAGGCATCATCACACCAGTTGAAAAAAGCACTGACTGGATCAGCAGCCTAGTAGTAGTAAGGATACCATCAGGCAAGCTGAGAATCTGCATTGATCCAAAACCACTTAACAGGGCGCTCAAAAAAAGCCACTACCCACTGCCAGCAATTGAGGCTGTACTACCTGACCTGTCTAGGGCAAAAGTGTGTACAGTTTGTGATGTCAAGAATGGATTTTGGCATGTGGAGCTAGACAAATCTAGCCACCTGGCAACCTTTAGTATGCCCTTTGGCAGGTATCGCTGGTTAAGGATGCCCATGGGAATCAGTCCAGCTCTGAAAGTTTTCCAGCAGAAACTGAACCAGGAGCTGGAAGGTATCAAGATTGTGGCTGATGATATTCTTGTCATAGGAGAAGGGGATGATAAGGACCATGACACCAAACTGCTATTCGTGACCAGGACACCAAACTGCAACAACTCCTTAACAGATGCCGGGAGAGGAACATTAAACTGAATGCCAACAAAATACAGCTGAGAAGAACGGAAGTACCCTACATTGGACACCTGCTGACTTCAGAAGGACTACGGCCAGATCCAGAGAAGGTGAGAGCCATTATGGAGATGCCTAGGCCACAAGATGTCAAAGGAGTCCAGCACCTTATTGGGATGGTTAATTATCTGTCCAAATTTTGTGCATACCTGTCTAATGCTTGTGAGCCACTCAGGTTGCTAACACACAATGATGCAGCCTGGGAATGAGCACAGACCCAAGAGGAGGCATTCAAAAGAATTAAAAAACTCATCAGTGAGGCCCCAATACTGAAGTACTATAACACAGCTAAGCAACTAGTACTACAGTGTGATGTGTCAGAAGGAGGTCTGGGAGCAGTACTGATGTAGAAACAGCAGCCTGTACCTTTTGCTAGTAGAGCAATGACTGAAACCGAAAGGAGATACGCACAGATAGAATAGGAGTTATTAGAGGTTTTGTTTGGACTGGAATGGTTCCATCAGTTCACTTTTGGACAGAGAGTAGATGTGCAATCAGATCACAAACCATTAGAGATCATAATGAAAAAGCCCTTGCTGAGTGCTCCTAAGAGACTTCAATGCGTGCTGCTGAGACTCCAGGCCTATGATATGAATATAAAATACTACCCAGGGAAGTCCTTGCAAGTGGCAGATGCACTAAGTAGAGCATACCTTCCAGAGTGCAGCACAGACGGATCTGTAGAACAGGAGATAGAGTCCATTAATATGGTACAAGACTTGCCCATCTTCAAAAGCAGTCTCAAAGCAATACAACATAGTATGGAACAGGATGGTGTGCTACAAGCAGTTAAACGAACCATCCTAGAGGGTTGGCCACAGCACAAGGCACAAGTACCAGCAGAAGTTGCTGCATACTACCAATGGAGGGATGAACAATGTACACAGGATGGAATTCTGTTCAAGGGAGACAGGGTAGTGATCCCAGCAGCTCTGCAGCGAAACATCATGAACCAACTCCATGCTTCACATATGGGAATAGAGTCGTGCCTGAGGAGAGCACGGGAGTGCATCTACTGGCCAGGCATGAATGCCCACTTGAGAACATACATGGAGCAGTGTGAGGTGTGCAAGGAATACAGTGACAAACAGCAAAAAGAGACATTGAACCCTCATGACATCCCCTCTTGGCCCTGGGAGAAGGTAGGGACTAACTTGTTCAATGTCAATGACAGAAACTATATGGTCACTGTAGACTCCTATTCCAATTTTTGGGAGGTGGATTACCTCGAAGACACTCAGGCAAGAACAGTGATCAGGAAGCTGAAGGCTCATTTTGCGTGGCATGGGATACTTGACACTGTTCTCAGACAATGGCCTACAATACACCTCAAGGGAATTCAAACAGTTCTGCACTAAATGGGAATTCCAGCACAAGACATCATCCCCTGGGTACCCACAAAGCAATGGGAAGGCTGAACCAGCGGTAAAGACAGCTAAGAGACTCTTGGTGAAGGCAAAAAAGACTGCAGGGGATCCCTACCTGGCTCTATTGGACCATCGCAACACACCCTCCCAAGGAATGGACAGTAGTAGCCCAGCCCAAAGTTTAATGGGCTGGAGAACTAAGACATTACTCCACATGAGACTGTTTGCTACAACCCCAGTGGGGAAGGGGCAACAGTTCATGGAAGCAGCTAAAAAAGCAACAGTCTCAGCAAGTATCACAGTATAACAAAGAAGCCAGGGACCTGAGACCACTGCGCAGAGGGGAAAAGGTCTGGGTACAACCAGTAAGTCCACATGTGAAAGAATGGCAAAAGGCCACCGTTGAGGGTGCAGTGGGAGATAGATCCTACGAAGTTGTCACAGTGGACAGTGTCTGAGACGTAACCAGAAGCAGCTGCGGAGTGCTGGCAGAGTGGAAATACAAGTGAGCAAAAGATTCCAGGATCAGGACCAAGACAACTTTGACAACTGGTCAGTCATCAGTGAGCCCCAGATAGGGGGAGAAAGATGCCATGGACTCCACAAAGGGAAGAGATACACAAGCAGAGTCCAGCCTGCAAAACAAAGACATGGACAGAACAGAAGCAGGCGTAGCACCCAGGAAAATCAACCAAACAAGAAGTGGGAGGCTGGTACAACGACCACCATACCTGGATGACTATGAGGCCTAAAGCACACAGCAGGCCAGCAGTAAAGGCTCGGTCTCCATGGTGGGCTATGTGCTAGCAACCTCTGGCCCAACCAGGGAAATAAGTTAATCATCTGTTTTGAACTGTTGAAAGGAAAGATGTAACAATATGTATGGATCTCAGAGGCAAAACCAGCAACAGCAGAAAGGAGGAGTCTGAAGGAGGAACAGGACGTGAGGGGGAACAGACAGGAAGAGGAGAGTTTAGGGAGTCTGGGAGCAGAACAGCAGGCCCTGTAACAACTCTGCAAGTAACTGCTATAATAAAGACATTGTTTATATTAAGTAGAGAGCTGCTCCTTGATTACCCACGCAAGGTCACATGAAACAGCAGGGGCCCTTGGGCCTGGGCCCATGCATTAATCCACCCCTGATCTTGAGGGATCTGACAGTGCAGGCAGGAAGTATGTTCTCCTTCCTATGACAAATATTTCCCCACTGAAATTTGCTGATCTGAACTACCATTCAGAAGATATAGATAGATAAGTAATTTTTTGTCTCAATAGGATTCAGGCAGTTGAGGGGTAGAAATAGTGTCTAGCCTGCTGACAAAATGTTCCAACACAGAGCTTGGCTCATGACAGAGCCCTCAGGAGGTGTGGCCATAGGAGTAATCTTTTTCTTCTGAGAATTCTGGCAGTTGAGTTGAGCAATACATTCTCTAATCCCTGACAAGCCTTGTGTTTCTCCCAGGTGACAATCTGGTAAGATAACTGCAGATTCTTTAAGGGTGAAGTTACATGTTACAGTTTGACCATACTAAGGGCACTTTAAACACAAGTGTCTACATGTTAAAGCTTGTTAACTTATGCTAAGTGTCCTCTGAGCATCTCAAAGTTATGCCAATTCAGGCTAGAGTTAACTATGGACTGTGCTACCTACCTTGTGTTAGGTTAACTTCAGTCTGCACCATAGAGATAAAACAAGCAATTTGCAGTCCTCCAGTAGCCCAGGATGTACCAGCCTTTCCTCCCCAACCCAGAGTACAGACATCCCAGGTGTCCTGGCTCTTAACCACACCCCTGTTTACCAGCCTTCTAGTCAGAGCTGTGCCAGCAAGAAATGGTATTAACCCTTAACATGTGACTGCTCACAGCATGTTCTAACTTGAATGCTGCCTAAGTTCTCACAGATTTAGTATGCTTTTAAGTGTAATGCGTAACTTCACTCTAACTTAATTTTGGTTCATTCTAGGGACAAGCCTGTCAGGCAGTGGGCTCTCCCTGGCCATCTACTGGCAGCAGAGCAGCAAAGCAGTTTGGAAGGGCCATCTTCCACACATCATTTACAAATACGGACCAATTTCTAACCCCTCCCCCCCGCCCCCCCCAATCTAATTTTATGAAGACCTGTCCTTGTCTTAGTCTTTCAACTAGTTCATAAATGAGGGGGAGGTTCTGGGTGGTGACCTTATTCAAAGCTTGATGATCTACACACAGG